AAAGAGCGGTACGGAAAAGAACGCGAGATTGTTAAGGCGTACGTAAAGGAAATATTCGAGCTTCCTCCAGTTCTGACAGCCAATGCGAGGAAGATTCACAAGTTCTGTGAGAAACTAACATACAGTGTGCAATCACTCCAGACTATGAATAAACTTTCTCAAGTAGACGGTGCAGTAGCGATGACTCTAGACAAATTGCCAGATATCAGAGGTGATCTTGTTCGTACTGACCCTGACTGGGAGAAATGGGACTTCATACAGCTTACAGAGGCTCTTCCACTTTGGACGAGAAGGAACCCGATCACTGAGAATGCCAATTCCAAAGACAAGGATCGCAGACGAGACAGAACGGGTCGGAATTACCACACTCGTCAAGGGAAGGGGACTTCGCATACATGCGTATATTTGCAATGCTGCAGATCATAAATCGACAACCTGCCCAACCGTTAAAACATCAGAACACCTGTTTCCACTGTACTGGACCCTCCCACCGAGCAGCGGAATGTGAAAGTATCGTGACATGTCACAACTGTGCTAGAAGACACCACACCTCAATCTGTGAAAATCCAAAGAAACCTGAGGGGTTCATGTCAGCCCATAGGGCAGGGGACAACCAAGTTATTTGTCCTGTTGTGGTCGTCGATGGGATAAAGACACAAGCGCTACTCGACACTGGCTCGGGGAGCTGCTATGCTTCAGCCAAACTCATAGATGCTCTGAACAAGAAACCGAAGGAGATCCAAACAAAACGGATTGAAATGATGCTGGGCTGAACAACAACCAGAGTTGAAATCTACCCTGCAACTATCAAGGGAGCTGATGGTCAGTTTACAATGGAAGTCCATAAGCCACACCTGATGGAAATCGATAATCCTCGGTATGAAGAGCTGCTGAGCAAGTATAACCATTTAAAGGGAGTGAAGATAGATGACCTTGATGACAAACCACACCTTCCTATACATGTAGTTCTCGGAGTGAACAAGTATGCCAATATCAAGACAACAGCAGCGCCACAAGTTGGGAAACCCGGACAACCCATTGCTGAATGTACTCGCCTCGGTTGGGTGTCAATGTCGCCTGGTAGAGAGGATGTGACAAGCCCACTTCTGCTAACTCGATCAGTCAGCACAGACTATGAGCAGCTGTGTTCCTTGGATGTGCTTGGACTTGCTGACAAACCGGACAACGATCAGGTAACTGTATACCAGGAATTCAAAGAGCAACTTCGGCGGAACGAGGCTGGTTGGTATGAGACGAAATTGCCTTGGAAGGCCAACCACCCAGAATTGCCAACGAACGAAGCGGGCAGCCGAAGAAGATTACAGTAACTTGTCAAACGGCTCGAGCGAGATGGGAATTATGAAGACTATGACAGCATAATTCAGGAGCAGCTTCAGAGCGGTGTGATTGAAAGAGCACCTACAGAACCCAAGGGCAAGGAATACTACATACCACATAAAGGAGTTTCTAAGAAAAATGCGGAAAGTACGAAGTTGCGGGTTGTCTACGACGCGTCTGCGCGGGAAAATGTGAAGCATCCCTCCCTGAACGACTGCTTGAACCCAGGACCATCTCTCCAAAACATACTTTGGAACATTCTAATAAGATCACGATTCCACCCGATCCTGTTGACAGGTGACCTGCAGAAAGCATTTCTGCAAATTAGAATAAAGGAAGAAGAGAGAGATTCCTTACGGTTCCACTGGAGAGCACCCGGCAGTACCGAAACTCAAATATACCGTTTTACGAGAGCCTTGTTCGGGCTAACCTCATCCCCTTTCCTTCTCGCAGGAGTCCTCAACCAACACTTAGAACTGTGGGAACGCCAGTATCCTGAGATTGTTAAAGAGATTCGCGATGGCCTGTATGTGGACGACCTCATGACTGGTGGTACAACAGTTGACGATATGCAAACAAAGAAAGCCACAGCCATTGAAGTTTTCCAGGACGCATCCTTCACGCTTCACAAATGGCACTCGAATGCAAGAGAACTCGAAGCCAGCAGTAATCCACCAGCAGATGATGAATTAACCTATGCCAAGCAGCAATTAGGAGTGAGCTGACCGGGGACAAAGCTTTTGGGACTAGTGTGGGACAAGGATAAAGACACCTTCAAAGTTGGTTCGCACAAAGATGAAACTATCTCTACAAAACGGAACGCTCTGTCTCAACTAGCAAAGATCTATGACCCCCTGGGACTGGCCTCACCAACAACTTTGCAAGGAAAAATTCTCTATCGTGAGATGTGCGAGATCAACATAGCGTGGGACAGTGAACTTCCAGCTGAACTGAAAAAACAATGGATCGAGTGGTACTCCAAACTGCCAAGTTACATCGAAGTTAAGCGAACTCTGGCACCATATCAACAACCAATCTTAGAAATTGTGTTGCACGCATTCGGAGATGCGAGCACTCGGGGAGTTAGCGCGGCAGTCTACGCGGTCGTCCGGCAGGAAAATGGGACAACTCAAGGACTCGTCTGCTCGAAATCTCGGTTGGCAAAGCGGAATTTAACCATTCCCCGGCTCGAGTTAGTGGCTGGCCATATGGCAATCAATCTTGCGACCAATGTTCAACTGGCCATCGATCTATACCCAGTGTCGGTACATTGTTGGCTTGATTCGACTGTGGCACTATACTGGATACGTGGGCAGGGGGAGTACCGGCAGTTCGTTGCGAACAGGGTACACAAGATACAGCAGCATCAGGACGTCAAGTGGCATCACGTGCCGACCACCGAAAACCCCGCAGATTTGGGCAGCCGCGGCGGAAGCGTTGATCATCATCAGCTATGGAACCAAGGTCCGAGTTGGCTGAGCGAAGAAACTGAATGGCCACCAGACATAATCTTTGAGCCCAACGCAGATTCCAACGCGGAGTTAAAGGTGACTCGAAGCGTCTTTGCTGCAACAGCACAGGTCCATGATGATTTTGACCAACTTCTTGATGCTCGCGAAGCGCACAAAGTCCTGCGAATTTGTGCATGGATTCAGAGGTTTATCAGCAACTGTAGGTCCCGAGCTGGAGACCGGCAAGATGGTCCACTGAACACAATCGAGATTGAACAACAGAGACTTTGGTGGACCAAGCGAGCACAACTAGAATGTCAAGAAAGACTCTGTTTCAAAGAAGACCAGCTGCAACTGAACCTGCAGCTAAACAGCGAAGATATCTTTGAATGCAGAGGGCGAATTGAAGGAGAGTTCCCGATCTACCTGCCAGATAGTCATCCCTTTACGCACGGAATTGTACGACAAGCGCATCTATCGACATTACACGGTGGTGTCTCGCTGACAATGGCAAAGGTACGTGACGTCTATTGGATTCCCAGATTGCGTCGCTTGGTCAAGAAAGTGAGAAGTGCCTGCTGGGGTTGCAAGAGATTTAGAGCCCAAGCATACCAATCCCCACCCCCAGGAAACCTTCCAAGCACAAGGACACAAGGGTCTGCGCCATTCCAAGTAATCGGGGTGGACTTTGCAGGCCCAATTTATTACCAATCGAAGCCCGGAACTGAAAGCAAAGCATATCTGGCCTTGTACGGATGCAGCCTGACAAGAGCGTTGTATCTAGATTTATTGAAGTCATTGGAAGCAACCGAATTCATCATAAGCCTTAAACGGTTTATCGCACGCCGAGGCAGACCAAAACGTATATACTCGGACAATGGTTCGACATTCAAGACCACCAAGAAATGGCTCCGACAAGTGCAGAAAGATGAACGACTTAATGATTACCTGGCTGACCTCTCCATCAAGTGGCAATTTAACTTGAGTCGTGCTCCTTGGTGGGGAGGCCAATTTGAGCGTTTAATTGGCCTTTTCAAGAATGCCTGTATTGAATATCGTATTTATTTCCATAATTTCTTTAACATTTGGTATAAAATATCACCGTAAAACTCTATACAAAAGCTATAATCGTATTGTGTTCGAGCTATGAGTCGTATCGTGTTCGAGCTATAAATCGTATTACCTTTGTCTCTATAGCAACAGTTCTGCTATTGGTTGGCATAAATTAAGTCACCATAAATTAAATTAAATTTAAATGTTTATCACACTGGCCGGGTTCATCAGCTATGATGATCAATTGAAAGATATTAATTTTAACCATAACTTATACTTTTCTATAATTATCAATGTTCAGTCCGTTATTGTCCTTTACGTAGAAGTTCTCCAATAACTGCAGCTGTTCGTCTCGGTCGACCTTTCGTCGTTGTCTCGATAGCTGGTGGTGACGCAGTAGAAACTTCTTCGTCAGTTGGGCTCGGTAATTCGGGTTCCATATGCAATTCCAATGGAATTAAATGTTGTATGGGCCTACGTAGCTCCGTTGTCTTTACTTTATCACCACGTACCAGTTGAATTCTTGCAGCTCGTATTATTCCATCAGCGCTTTGTATTAGATCTTTTATCTTGGCCAATTTCCAAAATAGACGTGGCGTTCCATCTTCCTTTAAAATCACAATATCTCCGACTGCAATTGTTTCTCGTTCTTTTCCATGTATAGCACGTGATCCTTCTCTTATACTTAAGAGATATTCATTTTTCCAGCGCTTTATAAACTGTCCGAGTAATCTTTTCTAATATTTCGCTTTCTTGGTCAATGCCTCTTGGGTGCTGACAATTTCAAATTGCTTATCATTCGGAGAGGTATTAATCTGCCGTCCGTAAATGAGTTGAGATGGAGTTAGCGGATAAGATATTCCTTCTTCGTCGTCGTACATATATGTGAGTGGTCTATTGTTGAGCGTTGCTTCGATCTCCACCAAAACCGTTCTCAATTCCTCGAAAGTTAGCGATGTACGACCAAGGTTTTTCTTCAAGCAACGTTTGGTACTTTGGATCATCCTTTCCCAAAATCCTCCTTGCCATGGAGCTTTTTCGATTATAAACTGCCATGTAACTCATTCCATCGACATATATCGTTGTACTTCATTCGACCTTGTAATCAATTTCACCTCTTTCGCCGCCGCTTTGAATGTTTTTGTATTGTCAGATAATAAACGTGCTGGTAAAACGACGAAACGATAATAGGAATGATTCTACAGACAGGTCTTCGGTGAGTTCCAGATGAATAGCCCTGGTTGAGGCACATGTATATGGACAAATATAGGTCTTTTGTTTATAACCGTCTTTCACGTACAGAGAGCCCGCAAAGTCTATGCCAGTATTTGAAAACGGAGGATCGTCGCTCACTCGACAAGCTGGTAAGGGTGGTTCTTTCATGCTCGTGAACGCCTTTCCTTCGAATCTCTTACACACAATACATCTTCTTATGATTTGTTTCACTATCTCCCGACCTCGTGGAATCCAGTACTTCTCTCTTATAGAATTTAAAGTCTCTCTGACTCCGTCATGATGCACGCTTTCGTGTCTTGCTCGAATGATTAGATTAGTGACATGATGCTTCGAAGGAAGCAATATAGGTTGCTTAGCTGCTTCAGATACGCTGGAATGTTGGATTCGTCCTTCGCAACATACTATTTTGTCTTCGTTGATAAACAATCCCAATTGTTTCACCAAGGGAGTCGTTCCACCAATTCGTAATTGTCGGATTTCAGGCTCGTAGGACTGGGCTTGGACACTCCTTATCCAGCAGGTTTCGGCTTCTCGTATTTCAGACGCCTTTAATTCTTTCATCGTTGGCAAATGGTGTTCCTTCGATCGCAGACATCGGATGAATCTGAGAACATACGCTGTTACACGAATTAATTTTGTCAGAGAACTGAATCTTGAACAATCGATAACTTGAGATACGTCTTTATCAGTTGACATATCTTCTGTGTTTACAAACGAAAATGTTACATGTGGAGGAGATTTTACTAACTCTTTGAGACTTATTTCGTCGATTTCTCGAGCTTGTGGAACACATGGCCATTCGCTTTCTGATTTCTTTAAGAAGTCAGGCCCCTCCCACCATAACATATTTTCGATTAGCTCATCAGCAGATAACCCTCGAGAAGGTATATCAGCAGGATTTTGATCTCCTGGGCAATGTCTCCATCGTTCTCTTGGTGTAGCTTGTCGAATCTCTTGAACGCGTTTTTGTACATACTGCTTCCAAGGTTTTTCATTTTGTATCCATTGAAGGGTCGTCATGGAATCTGTCCAGTATGTAAATTCGATTGCATCGTTAACAGGAAGACATGTGGATATCGAATTTGACAGTCTGGCGGAGATTACAGCGCTTAGCAGTTCCAGTCTTGGAATCGTTTGAGCTTTGACAGGCGCTACTCGTGTTTTTGCAGCCACTAAACGTGTTTCGATGTGTCCATCCTCGTAAATCGATCGTAGGTAGATCACAGCCGCACAGCCGCATAAGCTTTCTTGGACGCGTCATTGAATGAATGGAATTGCGTGTTTGTAGGCTTCATTGACGTATTGAAATAACATCGTGGTATACGAATCCTTTGTAGACATAGCAAATCGGTCATTAAAGAGATCCATATCTTTTTGTATGGTTCTTGTAGTTCATCGTCCCAATCAAATCCTTCGACACACATGGATTGGAAACAGCATTTCAGAACAATGGTAAAGGGACTCAGAACACCTAGTGGATCGAAAATCTTGGCTGATACTTTCAGAAATGATCTCTTGGTCAAAGTAAGCGATTTCGCGAATGTTATCAATTCATCAAGTTCAAACTGAAATTCATCCGTCTTAGTGTTCCAGGAGGTTCCAAGAACCTTTACTGATTTTGCTGTCGATTGTGAATTGTTGCCAACTGTCGTTTTCGTGTACGATTCATCTGCTTGTGTTATATTTCCGTCGTTCAATTTTTTGGATGTTGAGGTGCTTTGCATGGAGTTTTCTTCGTTGTCGATGTATTTGAGCAATTCGGTAGCCTGCGAACAGGCTCACTGGGAGAAAGGTGAGCCTGCACGGAACCATGCGTTTTATTCAATCATCCCCTTTTCGCATCTGCTAAACGTTAACCAATCAGCGTCGACTGCGATAAATAAACTGTCAACTGTCAAATTGACGCAAGGCGTGTACATTGTGCAACATGAACAATAATACAAAGCATTAGCGGGCCGCACAATATATTACTCGGAAAAATATAGAATTCTTCAAATATTAAATAGATATCAATACACATACAAATATAAAGCCGAATAAACTACCATTGGCTTTGAATGTACAGTAATACTTGTACTATGTGCGACTGAAAGAACAATGTTCTGAATATTTTGAAGCTATTACTAAAATACGGTCAGATAGATTGGGATTTGGAATACCGAATACGTTTAAAATTTTACTAACTGTGGTCTAAATAAATGATAAATGAGCATGTATTTATTAATTTCTTCGAAATCACGAGTGTGCCAATAGTGGAAGCCGTATCGACGACGAAATTGTCAGCAGTTAATATACAGTAAATAGTACAACGTTTAATGTACGATATATATTTATCTAAATGACATGCCAGCGAGGATCAACAATATAATTATTCGTACATATTTGGGTATCTTTTGTATGCCTTCGCTTGCTGACTTGCTCACTAATGAGAATAATCCGTGAAGCCACGACGACCTCAAAATGTACTATACTATAGTCTGATGTCAATTCGAAGACGAAGTTCAGAATACTGTTAATATAGTTTCGTATATTGGATTTAAGCGATAGATTCAAGTCATTTATGATAGACTTTTTGCTGTGATGCTTTGCTATTGCTTTTGGTTTCCATTTCTAGTTTTATTTGTTCGATAGTCTTATAATATATATATTAAAATGAATAAAGTTCAAATTCTTCAAAATGCTGTTGTTGACATTTGCTATTTTTAGTAATTTTGTCAACGAGTGTAAGCCAATCAGAAGCCTGCGTTTCTATACGAACGCCACTACCAAGAAAACCTATAGTTCCGTGCAGGCCCTCTATTCTTCGCGCCGCCCGCAACCCAGGGCCTGTTCGCAGGCTAGCAATTCGGTAGAGTTCGAGTTCCATTTTCGTAAGTTGAAGCTTGCTTCTTTCATTAGTTGTTTCGAATCCTTGCAGATTTCCTTGCCCTCGTCGACACAACCAGAACCAGATAAAAAATCATCAACGTACATGGATTTCTGGATCAGTTTGACTAGTTCAGGATAATATTCTTTGCTGGTATTCAGATGATGAGTAAGGACTGCTCCCAGTATTGCTGGAGAGGGGCGCAATCCAAACATAAGACGACAAAATCGCAAGTGGATTATATTCGACTGTGGGTCATATGGATTCTTCATCCACAGAAAGCGTAGCATATCTCGATCATGAGGATTAATTCCCACCATCAAAAAGGCTTTTTCTATGTCTGCTGAAATGGCAATGGGATTTCAGCGAAATCTGAGTAAAACATAGAGTAAGTGTGGGATAGAATTTGGACCAGTCTCTAAACAGTCATTTAAAGCGTGTTGCTGATCCTTCGATTTGGCTGAACCGTCATACACTACCCGTAGCTTTGTTGTCTCTCTATTCTGCCGAATTACAGCATGATGTGGGATGTAGTGTATATCCTTGCGCTGAGGTTCTTGTGATTGGCTGCTGTCGGCTTCGCGGTTCTCGATATCTTTCTCTGGAACTTCTTCGATTATATTCCTTGAGAAGTTCTGGTTTCTTTTGCAACTTGAAATGCATTGATCGTAGTCGGTTTCTGGATAACTCGTAGTTGTTTGGAATGGGTAAGTGTTCACTCTTCCAAGGAAGACTGACTTCGTCACGGTTTCCTTGTCGATAAACATACTTAGAGAACTCTTCACTCCGTACTGGGTCTTCGGATGGATGAATGCCAATTGACTTGGTCTCCCAAAACTTTTTCAATGTGTCGACTACGTTCTGTTCTTCATCATAGGTACCATAGTTGAATGTCTCGCTCTGTCCGGATATGATCAAGTTTGACTGTATTTCGGTTGGCGCAGCTGAATCATGAAGTGGACCTGAAAGCAGCCATCCGAGTTTGCTACTTACAGCTACTGGACCAGATTCTCCCTTCTGCATTTCTCCAATAACTATTTGCCAATAATAGTCGGAACCAATAAGAACATCTATTGCTTCATTTCTATCGTGTTCGAACTCATCAGCTAGTTCAAGACAATCAAGGTGTGGGAAGCCTTCGATGTTGACTCTAGTGGGTAGAGATGAGCATATTACTGGAAAACTGAGAGCCTTTATTGTTAATTTGCCATGATCTTTGCCTTCGAGATTAAATTCAACCAAGTCACAATTTTGCTTGCGAAATTTGGAATTAGCAAACGTATTTAAGTTTAATGTTTCATTCTTCACAGGTTTGAGGTTTAATCTTGTTTTGAGGCTGTTGCTGATATATGATCGTTGGCTTCCGCTGTCGAAAAGGACTCTTACTTTTGCTGATCTTGATCCATTGGAATTAGTTGCTGTAGTTCTCGCTGTTTGAAGAAGCACTGTTCCCTTGCTTCGCACGTTACTTGTAGTTGTGGTTCCCTTTGATTCCTCTGTTGTTTTGTTGCGGTCGGACTTGTTGTCAGGGATTGGGGATTTCAAGGTGTTACAAATGGATTGGTGGTGTTTTTGCTTGCAATGTCTACAACCCTTGGAGCTTTGGCAATTAGAAACGCGATGACCAACTCTAAGACAGTTAAAACATCGATTGGTATTCCGAAGAATATCTTGTCGTCTTTCTGGATCAGCAACCTTCGTACAGGATGCGGAATAATGAAGTTCCTTACAATAAGCACAGCGAACAGTATAATTCTGGTCGTCTTTCGATAAGAAGGATCTGGCAGTCGATTTATGTCCTTTACTACCTTGTTGTCGTACGTGTTCATCAGCTTTGATTCTTTCAGACGCCTCTCTCGAGAAAATTGTTTACGATAAGAACCTTTCTTGAATTTGTCGTATTTTTTCGGCTGTTTTGCTCAAAAAGTATCTCGCAAGTTTGTTTATAAAACTTTATATTCATATATAAAAATTATCTCGCAAGTTTGTTTATAAAACTTTATATTCATATATAAAAATTATCTCGCAAGTTTGTTTATAAAACTTTATATTTCAAACTTCTTTTTCACGAAACACTACAACCGAAATATGGCAACCTGTTTGGCCGTTTTTTGTTCAAAATAGTGGATACACAAGCTTCATAAGGCGCTTTCCTCGGTTTGCAACAGGTCTGTCGCAAGTTGTTGAAAACAGCATTGCAGCAGCTCTGTCACAACAGCTTGTAACAGACCTGTTGAAAACAGCATTGCAGCAGCTCTGTCACAACAGCTTGTAACAGACCTGTTGAAAACAGCATTGCAGCAGCTCTGTCACAACAGCTTGTAACAGACCTGTTGACAGGCCGTTGCAGGTCTGTCAGAACAGACAGGTACAAGGCGAGCGAACGCATCCAGATATCGGCTTGTTGACAACAGGATTTAACAGATCTGTTGCAGATCTGTTCCGACTTGCGCGTTTCTGGCTGTGTGGTATTATCAGAAACTAATTTTTCTCCCCTATCTATACAGTAGCTCTCTTGACAGCAGAAAGTTCTTATGTGGGGGGAGTGCAGATCTTTTCTGAATAAAGAAACGGTAACCTTTCAACACTCCCATATTTCATAAGAGGGGGTGGGGTGGGATAGCTCTCTGAGGGGGGGATAGCCCAGAAATTTTAAAAATAATAAAAAATTACTGCTGAATTCTCAAAACTGGAAGTATTTGAAACCGTATATATCATATTAATAATGTATCTGCAATTGTTTATTGTTAATTTAATAACAACATATTTTGTCTATCAATATTTAAATTTGTTTGTTTTTTGTCCTTTGTCATTGGATGTTTTTGGTCTATGCTGCTTGTTAGGCAGTGGTATTTACCTGCCCAAAGAGCTATCATCTTCGAGCACGGTCGCAAACGATAAATTAAGTAAACATATTTATAGCTTACAAATCATGACAGAATTTGAAAGGGCTTAATGAAAGTGGCAGAGAAGACCCTGAAAATGCAATTTCTGACAATCTGGAGACTCAAAATTTTCAAAATTAATGAGTCGGCCCCCTAACTTTTACAAGCTTCCTATGCCCCTGCAACACCACAATGTGAAGTACTCCCTAACACCAATCATAAACAGTGTCACACAGAAGTGAAACTTTGGTATTACGGCTAGCTGGGGGGAGTGTCCTCAGCTTGTTTTGCCCAACCAAAAGGGCAGCATGGCTGAAGTTGTTCCTGACAAACATTTCAGTTGCTAATTAATATTTCTTTTCACAATATTGTTGGCGAGAGGGATTTCAGGATTTTTACTCACTTTACTGTAATTTATAAAATTTTTCAGTAATATTTTCGTAAATTTATCAAAATTTTCCATACAACTATTACTTTTCAATCCGAGGCACTAAAATATTTTCAAAATTTGCCCGATGAAATTGTGTGGATATACTTGACAAGATAGAGACTGGAGGTGTCACAACCGCCCCCTCCCATGCCCCCAGCAGTTTCGCTACTGGTGTCACATGAATCTATTTCCCATACTTTTCTTTCTAGTGTCTGCTGAGTGCTGCAATCAATCGAAACAATCAATATTTTTTGACAATATCTTATTTGGTCACTTTTGTGCCCCTGGCTGTCTCTAGATGTGATGTGCCCTTCAAGGCCGGCGAGAGCCAACGACGGGCACCGGGATAAAATGACAATTAGTGAACACAGGTCCCTTTGGACTCTCCCACTGGCTATTTTTAATCACAATCAACAAGAGAATTGCCAGCGAATTACTTGCAAGAAATTGGTGCATAACTGATAAAAACGCAATGTGATCAATGTTCAAGGCCGGCGAGGGGGGGGGGGGCAGGGTCTTAGCTAGAGGGCCGTGTTGGCTGTGTTATCGCGGCCAAAAATAGAAAAACACGGCTAGATATTAAAAATGAACGCGGCTTCATTAATCATACAAGGCCGTGTAGGTTCTTAAAATAAGGTGTTGCTACTGACACCAGACAGAATTTCTTCTTATTTACGTCGTAAGAAAGTTTGTAAAATCTACTGTAGTTGTTGAAATTGGAAAAAGTGATCCTTTATATTTTAATGTTTTGATGGATAATGGGAACCATATGGTATTAAAATGGTTTTAAATACCCCCAAGATTTACTGAAATAACTTAATATTTTAATGTCAGTACGCAATGTGAGCTAGCCTTGTATTTGGTTGCAAAGCATACAACAACCACATGCAGGCATTGTCTGTTGTTGGTGAGCATAACTACAAATATGCACACCCTGGTCATTTAGAAACATGCCCAAGATCTAAAATCCTAGCTAAGACCCTGGGGGGGGGGAGGTGGGGAGCAAAATACCCGGGGCCCAGAGTGCTCAGAGGGTCCCAGAAATCTCGGTAAAATGTTTGTATCGTTAATCATTGCTTTATATTTGTCCTAAATGAAATACGCCTACTTGCGCACTATCAGCTGATCGTCGTGATCGATTGTAAAACATACTAAATGTGAAATAAACAATTTTTCGAACATTTTCTCAGCAAAAACAGTTAGCTGAACATCGTTCTATTGCGTTTTTTATCAGTTATGCGGCGATTTCCTCGCTGGTAATCTCTCGTTGATTGCAATTAGAAATAGACTTTGGCGTGGCCATGCGCCAGCGGGAGAGGGACATGTTCACCAATTCGTCATTTTGTCCCGGGGCCCATGGTTGGCTCTCGCCGGCCTTGACGATGTTCAGCTAACTGTTTTTGCTGAGAAAACGATCGAAAAATCGTTTATTTCACATTTGGTACATTTTACGATCAATGATGATGATCAGCGGATAGTGTGCAAGTAGGCGTATTTCATTTAGGACAAACATAAAGAGATAATAAACAATACGAACATTTTACCGAGATTTCCGGGCCCCTCTGAGCACTCCGGGTATTTTGCCCCCCCCGCCGGTCTTGGTGCCCTTGGAAACTGATGTGCAATATTTGTGCCCCAGGACTGAGCACCCAGTAGCTGCAAGCCCCTATAGGCCTAGATTTCTAGCTTTTGTGAGCTTTAAACTTTTATTCATCATCTTGCACTTACCGTACTCATCTTGACTATCGATTTGTTTTTTCAATACTTTAATATTATTTTGTTTCGTATTTATTTTTGTGCTGGCACAATATTTTATATTAGGCCACTTTATCATTAATAATGTAGGATAAATGGTAGAATAGCACTACATTTGATGTACTTTAGAGGGACCTCGTAGGATATTGAAACGTTTGGGGGGTCCTTGCAAAGTGTTCTTTCAGGGGCACGCCATGTGTCGTTCTTTTCTATACAGTTCGTCAGCGTCAACATGGTAAGATATTCAACGTGTAAAATACGGGGTTTTTTTACTAATTTTGCCATAATGTTTCACTAAAACATATTTTTACTATACTATAGAGTGTATGGCTTTAAACTGTCACACTTTATTACGTGGAATTTTCGTATTAGCGATTGAAATTAGTTTGTAAGAGATTTTAAAAATAGCAAAATAATTGGGCCTGGGTTCGAGTCGTTCGATTTTACATTTGTGCTTCCAAGAAATAAAAATTGCTAAAATTTAATAAATTGACTGCTGAATTTTTGTATCTTCACTTAAGCAGGATCTGACCGAGTCTGAAATAGCAGTTGGATGTTAAGTTTTTCCAACTGGTCATCAACCTGACTGGAAAGTTTGGAAATTGCACACCCAAGATTTAACAAATTAATAGTAAATATATTGAAAGCATCAAACTTGTGTGCTCAATATTTCCGTTGTGCAATACAAACTTTCCACACCAGGTTATCGGTATCAATGTTGACCAGTTAGTTGATTGACCGCTTTTGTTGATTTTCATTGATTGCAAATGCTGGGTTAAGACAATGTTTAACCAACAACTGTGTCTGTGCTTCCTACAGAGAATGCACAATTGCAAAATTTAAAAGCTTACAGTAATAGCATAAAATATATTTGTTAAATATTTACATGATTTACCCAAAGAATGCCAGGACATAAAATGACACCTAAACACTGTCTGACCAAATTTGGAAGTTTTGTATCTAAATTCCATTTTAGTCAGACATTCCAAACTCTTTTACTGTTATTTCTCCCCTTGTCAAGTAAAATCAGTGTTAGACAGAGTATTACAGGGTTCGAGATTGGCTGTATCCTTGATGATACCAGTTTTCAATTTTGGATACCAGATGTTAAAACCTTGGTATCCTAACTGGATACCAGGAAATTCTTGCCTAAATATCAATTGTTGAACATTACTTATAAACTTTATCAAAGGGAATCACAAATATATACATAATTTTACAGATAATGTTTGAAACGCTCGTAAACTTTGAGCAGCGAATGCTAAAATTACTTTGACTACTTTGCTTCAAATTTCACTTCCATTAGCTAATCACTGAGAGCCTGAAACACCCGCAAATTCACCTGAAATTGGCGGGCGTTTTCATTATCAGGCTACATTTCCACTTTCGCATTCTAGCTTCTCTGTTTTGATCTCGAAGCACATGTTCGAATACCAAATTTAAAGTGACAATAAAATTACAATCAGACTTTGGAGGATTTCATATTTAGCTATTTTAGTTATTATAGCAATTTAATAGTTTGATGAAGAACAGAGGAAATTTATAATAATACTGTATGTTTATTTATATAGTTAAGGTTGTAAAGGGATATATTTAGAAATAATGCATATCTATTGTACTTTGTAACTAATTACTTTATCAATGTTCTCTGTACCCTGTAGTGAACTAAAAGTAAAGAATACCTAATGGCTTGTGTGTGTATATGTGTTTCAAAGTTTTCAATATTCGATATCATGATTCTACCATTAATATTCTTATATTAACATTGTTTTCTTACTTGTATTTTTATACCTCTGTAAGTTTTATGTCTGTGTGTTATTTATAGACTTAATTAAAAAACGGTTTTTCGTTTTTTTCCGCTTTTTTCATGACGGTTTTCGGTTTTGATTTTTCTCAAGAACTGCCCCAGCCTAGTCATTAGACTGCCTTGCAACAGTGGCAGACACTTCGCAAAATGTTGTAGGGGCAAATTAGATTGCCAATATGTGCTACCTTTTGTAGCTGGAGGTGTTAATTGTTTAAACTTTGTTGCCTTAAATTTCATGCAATAAATGGCTTAAATTATAGCCAACCAACACTTTCATGGTTGAAAATTATTGTTACAGCTTCAGTCCTCGAAATTAGCATAAATCCTCATTGGCAATTATTTTAGATATTTTAGAGTTCTTTAAAAAGTTAAATGGCATTTTTTTGCTTCTCAAACTTAAAAAAAATAGAAGATATACAGTATTTACTGCCTGTGCATGCTCACAACATCGTCCCAAAATTGTTTGTAACAATATTATAAAGGAACTACACAACATGACTTGCTTGTGGCCAGCAGAGTGTATATGTTTGTATGAAATTACATGAAGTATTAACAAAAAATATATATGGACACAGTAGAGACATACAGAGACGTAACTAGTGTACCCACTTTTTTTGTGCGCATGCTCGGCAAGTTACTAGATGCATGCATCTGATTGGATGACGACCTGATGACTCACTTTAAACTTCCTGAGCACGCGTAGTCGATCATTTATCGCCTGGTCGCCTGAAAAAAGTGGGTACATGATAACGTAATCTTCAGAAGTGTTTATGACGGTCAGTTACGTCTCTGTATGTTAGAGACATATGATATGGACTTTGAAATATAGCCAGAAAATAAAAAAGACAAAGGTTTAAATGTTTGCAGAAGTAACTTCCCGAATTCTCTGTAAACACAGGAACAAGCAACTAAAGAGAATTCTCACTATAGTCATTTAATAAAATATAGCAGCAAAGCTTTTAGAAGAATCGATCGAATAAAGAAAATAATAACAAAAATAGCTTTGATGGCAAAATATTGCCATTGATAAGTTCATTTTCGGCGGCAATTGCTATTTGCCGTCGCTAATTTCGAGCACTGCAGCTGGTTATAAAGTTATTCAGCTATTATTCTAAGGCTTTCAGTGTTTGAAGTCTGTCACCAGTATTGTTTTGTGTGGCTGAAAATTCATGTTCTACAAAAATCATTTAATTTGTTTTCCTGCTGTTTTTTTGTAAATAATTATAGACTTCCAAAAGACGTAACAATGGTCGTTCTAAAAAGGGAAGAGGACATGTACGGTTCATCAGATGTACCAACTGTGCTCGAGCAGTGCCAAAAGATAAGGCCATAAAGAAGTTTGTGATAAGAAATATGGTTGAAGCTGCAGCTGTTAGAGACATCTCTGAGGCCAGTGCATATGACAGTAAGTTCCAGTTTTTTCAGCTGCTGACTAAGGACATGACACTGATTTGAAAACAAAATGGGATTGATTGGTTAAATTGCAATTGCATGGTTAGATTTTTGCATTAACATTATTTAAATTATTGAAAAGACCATGAAGTAAAGTTAGTAAACTTTAAGGCAAAGGTGGCTTAAAATGTTGAACAACAGTTTAAGTTAAAAAATGATAATATTTCCCCAACAGAAACCTTTACTTGTGCTACCTAGCTGCAATCAGCCCTGGTAGAAATAATTGTCTCCACTTGTGTACATGCTATGGAAATGACCATGATTAAAATTCCCTATATCAATATTTGCATGTATTCTTGATATCCCCTGTTGCATCATATTGCCACAGTAATGTTTGTGCATGTAAATGTAATGGGCAGGTGTACAGCAATATGCAGAAGCACTAAATTATGGTATATATAATCATTGTGTTGTTTTTAAAAAAGTGGCTTTTAAAAAAATTATGGTATGCTCAACTTGTTTTTGTCTTCTCTGTAGTGTATGCTCTACCAAAGTTGTATGTGAAGCTTAGTTATTGTGTCAGCTGCGCAATCCATTCTAAGGTTGTAAGGAATCGTTCAAGAGCTGAGCGCAAAATAAGAACACCACCACCAAGGTTCAGACCAAGAGTAAGTAAATGCAATTGTTTTGAAAAAATGCCTGAATGTGTGGTTACAGAAAAGTTGTCTTTACCCCATTAGTCATTTACCGTACTTTCTCTTTAAGGCCCCGTTTACACTATACCGGATTGCTATCGGAGTGGGTCAAATTTTGTAGGTATCGAAAGGCTGTGAAGTTTTTTAATCTCAGAGACCCAAATAAACATGCCAAATCTGTCAAACTATTAAGCATTTGCTACTAACCATTGCTCCATAACGGCAAAAGAAGATGTCGTGACCAGCGGATCCGGTATAGTGTAAACAGGGCCTAATTCTTAAACAATTTCACCCTTGTTATCTTTTTGACATGAACAAACCTTGATTGCTCATATACATGGCCACAGTAACCTGGTGCACTCTACATTTCTTGGTGTTGCTATAACACCATAATGATGTAAATCTTTGCGACTCGCATTTGCGTCGCACTGTAACGATTTTCATGCATGCACTAGCGAAGTAAAAATTCAGAATGTGACTTTATTCCTCTATGTCTAATACCAAATAATTTGATTTGTCTTTGGGTCCGTTGTTGGGCAGAAAGTCTTTTCTATATTTTGTAGGTTTTGTACTTCTGTTTGATAATGAATGGGATTTTATTCAGCTATTCATTTCAAAAATAATTGCTACAATAGTGTCTGAATACATATTAGTGTTACTGATTTTCTATATTTATGTTCTTTCTCGTATTAGACCGACAATACTGGCCCTCCTCGTCCTGCTGGTGGAGGTCCTGGAAGAACTCCGGGTGTACCTGCGACTACTGCATGAAAACTACATACATCTTCGTCCAAAATGAGAAGAAATAAAAGATGAAATGAAAACATTTTGTGTGTTTAATTTTTTGTCACTTGTCAGTTCCCAAGGTCTAATTGGGAGATTTTTACTGTAACTACATTGTTAGGGATAGAGAACCCTGGGTACGAGGTTGAGGGATTTTTAGATTGTCTGTTCTATAACTGCTTATCATCAGGCAATAAACACATGATTATTTTAAATTAAACGAAATTGCTATTGGAAATGGACTGTCCCAAGGCCAAGTGCACACTTTTCAATTTACAAGGACACGTGTTCCTTTTACAGCTATTTTGATGCCAGATATATATTTCTGGTTTATATTTTTCTGTTTATAACATATCAAGAAACGCCTGTAAAATTACCAACGGCTTCACTATAGGCGTTTTCTCTGAGGCGGTTTCATGATGATAATGGCAAGATTCCAGCCTCGTCCCCAGGCGCTGGGAACGAGGCTGGTAATATCCACAGAAATATGCTACAAAATCAGGACTCGCTTTTAAGGATTTTCATTAGACAGTTGAAAATTTGGTTATGAACATTTAGACTGCATGATTTATGTACTTGTTCAAAACCTCAACCATTGGTCTAAACGACCCAAAAGCGACGAAAACTGCGCTTCTGTGACCCCCAAATTTTGCTGATACCGCACTGAAATACACGCATTAGTCACATTTGCATAACCAGTCTGATTTTGTATAGCCGTCGAGATATAAAGTTATTGTTCAAGTTACGATGAAAATGAAAACTTATTGACCTATTTGAAACAATTTTTTTACAGTCTGAACTTAATTTAAGGTCCAGACACACTGGACGCGATTCGACAACGCGACGCGCGATTTTTCGATTTTCACTGACCATTGATTGACATCTTTATTTAAAACACGAGGTCCATTTCACAGGTTATGTTATGTGCTCTTCAATGGAGACGTGTACCTATACTAGTCGACTAATTACTAATAAAAAAGGGCATGTTGTAAAAGACGGACTGGACTGGACTGGACTGGACCGGGAAAACGCGGACTGAGTCCGTGTTTTACAAATCGCGGACTGAATTTGTAAAACACGGACTGGACTGGACTGGACCGAGAAAACACGGACTGAGTCCGTGTTTTACAAATCGCGAACTAAGATTTGTAAAACGCGGACTGAGTCCGTGTTTTACAAACCGCGGGCTGCAATTTGTAAAAGGCGGACTCATTTCCTGACAAACATCGAAGTGACTCAGTCGTAAAGATTTTGGCGGGAATTGCACTCAGTCGTGAGACTTTTGGCGGGAATTGCGGATAATAGATCGGTCAAGGAATAATCATATCCTGCCGGACCTAAGGTTGGTAGAAATTACTATTATTTATTTATTGTTTTGAATAAACAGCGTTCAATCTTAGGAACACGCTCAGTCATGTGGCACTTTGTGCCACTATTGTCGAGGAAACTCATGCTCCAAATGTGGCCGTTTCATGTAAATAGTTGTATGCCTGTATAGATATATAGCTCTTATTATAGCAGATATACCATTTAGTGTTAATCATAATTAGACGAAAATAGAGTTAATTCGTTTATTTTGTGTTCGTGGGGAAGAGGGCGTATTAAATAAAGGTGTCTACAAATTTGCGAGAAATATGAAATGAATACTGTAATCGAATTTACCTTTCAAATATTTGTTTTATTAAACGGGGAAACTCTCGCAGGCCATCAAAACATCAAAGGTAGTGTTGTGCATATAAATTACAATAAATTTAAATTTCTCAACTTTTATTGTTGTCGTACGAGGAAGTTTCTAAAAATCGTTATTCGATTATAGTGTTCAATTCGCATATTTCTCGCAAATTTATATATACACTCGTTTTCAAAATTACGCGACCTCCCTGAAAAATACTCTTACTTCAAATGGGGAAAGTACAAAACATGGACCCCCGGTGCATGGACCCCTTGTCTGGACTGGGTCCATGGACCCCTCTATGGACCGGGTCCTTGGACCCCCTCTATGGACTGGGTCCATGGACCCGCTCCATGTGCCGCATTTTTCCAAATTTCAATATTACTGTTAAACATGATTCGAGTTTTCAATTTTTAAAAATATTTTAGTGGTTTTAATGCATACTTTTGTTCTTAGCAGTAAACCTCATCTACACTCCAGCGTTTTCTTCATACTAAAGCGAGGCTTGCTAACGACATATCATGACAAATCAATGCACCATGTGAATAATAATAGTGTTATACTGACTTGCAAAGCCGGTCAATGATCACAGCCTATGAAATTAAAGAAACCACTGCCAGCAAAGTGTTGAAATAATAAACCACTTTCATTGATTGTGCATCTTAATTAGCCTTCTTGCTTCAATATACAAAAAGGTGTTTCAATTTGTCTCTTATGAAAGTGGTCTACTAAAGGCACTGTTCATAATCAGCAATTTGATTTGCTTCGATTAATACATTTTTGTGAGCTGTGCACTAGCCAGCTGGATGTATAAGTGTTATTTGAAACAAATTACTGCATAGAACATTTGGACCTTGCAAGTAAATTTGTTTTCTCCTTGTACAGGGTTATTTATTTTCAGGTGTATTCAAAATTCCTGTTAACATTCATTCATAGATGGGGTCATTGAGAAATCGCGCATCCGTGGACCCGGTCCACGGAGGGGGTCCATGGACCCGGTCCATAGAGGGGTCCATGGACCCGGTCCAGACAAGGGGTCCATGGACCGGGGGTCCATGTTTTGTACTTTCCCCTTCAAATGTCAGTTTTATGCACGAAAACTGCTAAAAATAGCAAACGTAAACAAACTGTCAAAAGACATTTTAAACCGTATTTAATACCAAAACTGAACAAAAATGAGTTAGATAACTTAGATATACAAACTAAAGCACAATACAAACCATCACAACAGAAATATATATGTCGTGAATAACTTTTACTGTAAAGTTTGAAAACTAACAATTTATCCTGGAATTTATATTAGCTGTCAGTTAAAACACGCGCGGTAGACTATAACGGTGATGTTTATATGATTTTGTTTGTGCTTAAATTTTGCAATAATTCGCACTAAAATATCTTGAAAATCATTGTAAGCCTATTTATATAAAGCATAATAAGCATATACATCGACAAGGAACGGGAAAACTCAAAGTTTAAACTTCGTGACCGAATGACATAAAACTGACATATGTCAACTCTAGCATTTTCGTCCTTGGTCGCGTAATTTTGAAAACGGGTGTAATTCACCCTCTTCGCCACGAACACAAAATAAACAAATTAACTCTATCAGTTTAAGGCTAATTATGAATAATACTAAATGGTATCTGCTATAAGAGCTATACTGACCCAGGGGCGAAACTAGCCCCTTTTAATTCGGGGGGTGTCTGCCAATTCCTGTTACAGTCAATTTCAGCTGACTTTTCATCGTAAGATTCCGAACTTCGTTCCGGACTTCGCAAATTCGTTGCCAAGTTCAAAAGTTCATAATAAAATTCACAAACAGGTTTGTAAACTGGGCATTTGATTGGCTGGTTTGATTTAATAGCCAATCAGAGGCTTTGTTTACAAACCTGTTTTATGAACTTTTGAACTTGGCAACGAATTTGCGAAGTTCGGAACGAAGTTCGGAATCTTACGATGAAAAGTCAGCTGAAATTGACTGTAAAACATGGCTTAAACCCTTATTTTTGGACCCGAATATAAATTCTATAAATTCCCTCTGAAAGCCCTGTAAATTACTTAACTCTACGTTCTATCATTTAAAATCTTTGATTGCCCTGCCAATCCACATGATTCGTATTGGGGGGGGGGGGGGGGGGGGGTGAATTTCAT